TGCCTGTTTTTTTTTTTTTTTTTTTTTTTGGGGGGGAACATATATGGGATATAATATTTTAAATAAAAGATACATTTTTTTATTAGCTTGTTGAAGAGCTACTTATGAGTTATAATTTTTGTGAACAGTATAGCTTAGTTTTACAAAAGTTTGACTTTATGATATGTTTTATTATTATACGTCATCTTATTATTATTCTTCTTTTGCGAGATAATGCGATATAAATTTGTCTTTTCATATAATGGAAATAATTGTCCATTGCAAATTTTTATATACTTTTAATATAAAATTATATTTTTGTAGTTGTCCTTGTTGATTTCTCTACTCTACATTTTTTTATGTAATTAATAACAAGATCACACGAATCTGTATATTGTATTAAACGATATACTTTTATCAATAGCTTCAAAATTGAGAATTAATCGTGTATTCGATTCTCAACTTCGAACGATTAATAAATACATAAAAAATTGATTTTATTTAACTAGTCGTGAATTTAGAAAATAAAATGTGACTGTTTCAATAGAAATTATTTTTTATTTTCCGTCTACATATCACTTTCGAGAGATAGGCAGACAGAGGTAGACGATTTTTTTCCATCTTCATTTCGATCTTTCCACGCGGCCTGCATAGAAGAGGAAAGACACAATCGGCTTATGTTAATGTCTGGATAAAAATACACCTACCGTCCATTGTTCCACGGCCAGTAAGATCTTCTCTCGTCGGCGAGAGAAACCAATGGAAATACAAGAGGGAAAAAGAACGATGCAGAAAGAATGATGGTGTCATATAGTCGTTTTCCTCGTTCGTAAAATGAAATCGTAAAATGAAAGAAAAATATATACATCAGACCTACAGCCGCTTACTATCTTGTTTTTCCATTCACGGAAAATTCTTTGCTTTACATTCATTTGTACTTATAAAATTTGTCGAGGAATTTACTGTTTATGTTTACAACATAAATGCTAATTTGTTAGTAAATATTAATTTATTTTCTATGCCCTTAAAAGAAATTATTATACATATTTATATTGTATACAATATACATGAATATGATCTGATTATGAAAAATTGCAAATTTTAAAATTGCAGTTTAAAGCTGAAATAGTTATAAAATTATATTACTGTTAATACGTTTATTGTATTACAAGAAATGATTGCCATTGCCATCTGGCATAATGTATGATTAAAGTATTATTTTTAATTTATTTATACATTGTGCGGCATGTGCGCGTCTGTACGCGCGCATGATTAAAGATTGCATAAAAACATTTTCACGGTCGCCGAATATATGCAACGAAAGTTCCGACTCATCGAACATCGAATAGTATGTAATATCGTTCGTTTAGGACCGTTGCAGCTAATCGAAGATTACCAAAAAGGATTTGTTTAAAACATCCGGCTTGTACAATCAAACATTATAAGTATGTTTAATAATATTTCCATGCAAAAAAATATAAATGTATTAGAATAGAGTAATAATTCGCTTTACCGTGACTCAGTTAGCGGATGATATTTAATCGTTTTCTTTTATCTATAAAGTTATCCTCGAGTAAGTGAAAATCTTGTTTTATATTAGAATATTATCTCAAATGAAATAAAATATTATTTTGTTTAAATATGATTTAGTTTAAATATCATTTAATAATTAGGAGAATCCTCTAAAATTTTATATTTTTCAAAAAAATTTAATTCGTTTTCTTTTGTGCGTCTCTTGACACTACGTATGTATGTATACATATAGTCGACGTATACACGTGAGTACGCGGAAGTATAGGTCGTGCTCTACATTTGGCGCTAGTAAAACAAAATTTACGATCGTCAGAAAAGCGGATCGGATTATCGTTTTACCTATTACGTGATTCTCGATATACTCCAACAATTCTATCGAGCACAATGGCTCGAATTACCCCGAAGTTAGACGGCTGTTAGACCGTGTGTGTGTGTGAACACGAGCGACACGAACACCGGCAGGTTGTCGGCTAGTGTTGGTAATGATATCACGTGTGCGTGCGTACATACACGCGCACGTACACACGGTACAGCCGAATCTGGAAACGTCCATATAGTCCCATGTAAAGTTAACGAGGCGACCAGGAAACTTTCGCATGAATACGAAAGTGGGGCGTCCTGCCTGTGCGCGTCGCCCATTTATATTTAAGGCGACGGTACGTCGACTAGATTGGATGGTTATGGCATTAATATGTTTGTGCCTCGTGCACTAACCTACGAAGAGCCACCAAGACGAGCGAGGCCGTTACATCTTGGCCGGATTCTGGAAAAAAACGATTTCTGGTAATTTGAGCAAATATATAATGACGCATCAAATGACGATGCCAAAATTCTTCTTGTTATAATAAAAAAATAAATAATGAAAAATTAACATTTTTATCATTGATTATGTTTGTTTTAATTATTAACCGAAAATTTATACATTTTTAATTGATATTTTTGCCTTTTGATATGTTTTGGTATATGTGGTTGTCTCGTTAAAACTAGCAAAGGAAAAAATGATATTGGAAAAGTATATATATTAAATGAATTTAATTATTATCAGCGTATCATTTGTTTGGGAGATATGAAATTGTTATATTTTACTATATGTAATTATGATAACATTATTTATTTTGATAGCAACCTGAGGGCATCAGTGTAATAAAGCATATTGTCTCACTTTGATTGTCAATAAATGCGAAATATAATTAGCTACACAGACATATAAATTAAAAGTGATATTCATACATATATTTTATAATTTTACATAAATACAAATGGTTTAATCTGTTTGGAACTTATTTGAAATTGTTATAAAAATTTATTATAAATTTATATAAATATCTTTGTATAATTTGTTATAAAATTTGTTATTTTTTAAGTACATATCGCATAATGCATATGTAAAATATTATATACATATATAAAATATGATTTCAAATAAATTATATGATATATTGTATTATATACAACTTCGACGAAATATCTCCGGGATGTATCGCATTTATCCAACCATCAAAACATACTTCCATCAACATTATAAAAGAGAAATGCTTTCTCGTTTCGAAACACATGTATGTAAATCTACGTATATGCGTATATATAAAGTACGCTTGTGTATGTTGCACGCCCGAATGTGTGTGTGTGTGTGTGTGTGTGCGCGCGCGCGCGCGCGCGCGTGTGTGTGTGTGTGTGTGTGTGTGTACAAAGGACAGAGAAAGGGTAGCGTGTACAGCTCGTATTGACGCCCACGTAGGAGCATGCGCGTTGGATACCTTTCCACCCTTACGAAACGCATACATATGTATATACGCACACATACCAGGATATGATTACCACTCACACACGCACCATCAAATATCACTATCGTGTGTGTCTTCTGTACTTTTCTCCTTGAACTTAGTATACACCCACCTACGTCGATTTACTTGCATTCTCAAGTTTTTCATTTTGTTTGCTATTTCTCATCTCCATGCAGTTTTCCTGCATCTTCGTCAAATCGGGGATGAAGGTAGAAAAACGTAGTTGTGTAATTTCCATTGCTGGAATCTTTTAAGTTTTCCCCACCTGTCTGGTGGGATGGAAGATCGCTTCTTACATTGTTGTATCAGAAATAGAGTGTCGATTGTGTTTTTTTTGAAACTGTTTCTTTTATGATGTTTTACCTTTACTGTACTGTTGAAACAATATTAAAAACAAAAATTATATTAAATTAATAAATAGTTTATTAATCATATCATAATCATAATATAATCTATTGATGAATATCATCACGTTAAAAGGAATAGCACTTTTAATATTTAAAGTAAACGAAACTTCTTAAATGATATTTCTTTGTTTAATAATAGAATCAAAGAATGTAATATATATATATATATAAGATATATATGTAAAAATGTTTTATATATATATATATATATATATGATATAATACTCTTTGTGATGAGTAAATTTAGAATAAATTGAATAAATAAGAGCATTATTTTTATTTTATTGATTTGAAGTAAAGTTCCGTCAATAAAACTAAATAAGTAGCCATATCGGTTCGTTTTGCCAACTTTGAATCGCGATCCGGCCCGTAGTACTTAATCTTGTACAGTAACGAGCAAGAAACGCGAGCGTCCGCGAGTAAAATCGCGCTCAGCTAGTCACTTGGCCGCTCAAGAGGATTTATAAAGCACCGTCGCGCCAATTCAAGGAGTCCCTTTTTCTTGAAACCGCGATAACCGCGACTTCGTTCTCATTTAGACGACGAATTAAGATAAAAGAGGAGCAAAGTCGTCCGTGGATTCGCCGCCAAGCAGCTCGAGAGAGTGAGCCAAGCAGTCGGGAAGGGGGTGGAAGATTCTGAAAGCCGGAAGGACGAAGGCAGACGCTCCCCCTAACGAGATTAATTTGTTTTATATGCGACCGCGCCACCGCCACTCTGTAGCAACATGAAAGTAACTCCTGGCAGATTGCGAAAGGCGTTTCACTCCGGTAGCTTTCTCGGGTCCTTTTCCATGGTGATGTTGATCCTGCCAACAGGAGGATCTCTGAAAAGATTGAAAATTGATCCACGATCGCAATAAGCTGGATGGCGGTGTCGTGAGAGGCTTTCTTTGAAAAATTGCTAGTCCTGAACGACTATCTTCGTGTGCTGGCACCGTGCTGGCACGACATTAACGTAACTCTATCGGTTTATGCTACCAACTACGTCAATAGATATTTTCCTTAGAAACTACGTTAATATTAAAACTTTTAGTTTTTACGTTTATTTTAATATTAATTGTCATTTTGAAAACATTTAAAAAATTTTATAATTATTGAAAAATTAATTTATGAAATAAAGATTTTGATCAATTTCAACCGTCTAATATTCATGTGAATTAGTTCTGAATTACAACAATGCAGGTTAGGTTACTTAAACTTTTAAAATTAAAATCTCTTTCTGTTTTTCATACACATCTCTTACCAAATGAGGTATAAATAAGTGACACATTGAAAAAAAGCTCCTCTCTGACTTCGCGATAACGCTAAATATAGGCAGCGCTGTTGCCTCGAAAAAATCATTTCCCCGGAACAAATCGGGAGGAAGGCAGCTCGTTGAAATGCACGGCGTTCGAAGCGTCAAAGGGAAGGCAAAGTCTGCAGAGCAATTCCGTCTCGAGTGCGTTTACGCCGATGCATCCCTCTTTTTCCTTCTTTCTCACTCTCGCATATTCGTTCTTTCTTGCTGGTATAGCCACAGCTATTATTTTTCATCGGTGTTGGTAACTATAGGTACGCCAGAGACGAAAGAGAGCTTCGAAAGAGGGAAAGATAAATCGAGAGAGTGGCTGCGAGGCAGAAACGGCGAGCAGAAAGAGGGAGACACAGAAAGAGAGAGGAGGAAAACGACAGGGCGACATGGGTGGCAGGGTATGTAGGGGTGGCTCGTGGAGCCGTTCGTGTTTTATCTCCGGGTGAGTCCGCCGAAGTCGGGGTGGAAAAACGGGGTAAAGGGTTAGGGAACTGAAGAGCAGTAGACTCGGAAGGGTTGGGTCGGCTGGCTGGCTGGCTGGCTGGCTGGCATTGATCTGCACTGCTCCCAGCCACCCCGTGTGTCGGCTTTTCTTAGTACAGTCGCCTCCTCTTCCTCCTCCACCTCCGCCACCGCCGTCTCCTCAACCTCCTCCTCTTTCTCCTCTTCTTTTTCCCTCCGAGCTACTATCACCATTACTACCACCACCTATGTCGGCTAACCACCCAGTCAGCCAGCCGCCTCTCCAATCTCCCATCGCTCTTTTCATCATTCCCTCTTCTCTGCGCCGGCTTCTTTCTTTCTTCACGCTTGGCCCGCACACAGAACCGATCCTGGGACTCACCTCTCAAGGGCGCCTATCTCCTTTTCTTTCTTCTCTTCTCTCTTCTCGGCGCTTCTCTTTTGCTTTCTCCTCTACCTTTGTGAAGGGATCATGAGAAGAGCTCTATGCAGTCAGCAATGCACGAACCCTCTTGCCCTTGCCCTCATCGAATCTGACTAGCTTCTGTAAGGAGAGATGAACATACGATGATGAGATCGGATTTTGATACGTCGGATTTGATGACAGTTTTTATCTATTTTATCTATTGATTATAAATTTTTATCTAACAAAATACTTAACGATATTAAAGAAATTAATAATAAATTTATAAGCGTTACATGCCTAAGTATATTGAAAATTGATTTTATCTAAATCATATCATTAATTTGAAAAAAAAGTATATTATAATATACTTAATTTTATATATTTTATAATTTTATATTTTATCTAGAAATTTTATATATATAATTTTATTTCCTGGAAAAATTGTTAATTAAATTGACTACATAAATTATTTATTATTATATTTATTAGATGTTAAAAATTTTAGATTTTATGCTTGTTATGTAAATGTTTATCGTTATGTTTGTTGTTATGTAAATAATATTATTGGAAGTTATTGATAGATGTAAATATTCTTGTTAGATTAATGAAATATTTCTTTCTATAAAAACTTCTTTTGAAAAGCATTTTTTTGGGGGAATGTGTATGAAAAAAATACACATATTTAGTTTTATATTTGGGTCATGTTGTAGTAGTGATGTTGTAATCTTTATTAATCTCTTTGTTTTTCTTGTTTTTTTATCTTTCTTAAAAAGTACTGAAGTATACTAATGAATCTCGCATTACACCAATAACTCCTTTACGATAGGGTTAAACGATCGACGTTCGGAAGAAATAGTGATTATTAAAGACTGACCTATGAGATGCTGAGCAAGAATGAGAGGGCGTTTACTAATCCCCAGCTATTACGTTACACCACCGACAATTTATCGAACGCGAGGTTAGAAGCAAGAGTTCCCCCAAGATAATGACTCTTCTTCAATGATCCCTTTAAATAAGGTTGAGATAAATCGGGCAAAGTCGAAGATCAATTTTACGAATCTGTTTATTTTCCTTTTCCAATAAATTCCTGTGTAAGCTTTTCTCAAATTAATAAATATATCCTCTTCTTTATTTTTAAATACTTCACAGGTGTGTAAATGTATTTCTCTGTAAATTTCTAAATGAATTTTTCTATAAATATTATTTTACGAGATATATATACTATAATAATAATATTGAAGTTTTTAAAATTAATAAATCTGAAAAAAGAACTTTTATTTTACAGGATGTTTTTTATGTTGATATAAATTTTTGTTAAAAAATCTTAGCTTATAGATTTGTAAAAATTACTAATAATTTAATAACTATAGAGCTACATTTAATAAATTAATTTGAATTCTGACATCCATGCGATAAATGCAGATCTTTTACTAAAAACATTCTATTCTATGGACCAATCCAATATATAAGGAAATTGAATGGCGAATTATTTTCTGAGAAGAAGATACAACTATATATATTGTTTTGATCAGATTGATTTGCAAATTCTGACAACATTTACAAAATAATATTTCTTTGAAAAAAAAACTATATTTTTCTAATTATATATTAAGTATATAGTATATTAATTTTTAATGATTTTAAATTTGATGTAAATTGTAAATTATATAAATTGATGCACAATAAATAAAAGTAATTAAAAATATTTGATATAGAGATTATTTTTATAAAAATCTGTTTGTTATAATTTATTTTTTATTAACTATACTTTTTATTTTTTGATTAATTATTTGAAAATTTAATTAAAGAAATGACTCTAACAGTTACTGATTTGGTCTTTACCGATATTTTTTTCATTTTACATCTTAATTTTATCTCATACTTGGAGTCGGCTTTTAAGTATCCAAGCAAATTTGTTCTAGGAGAGAAAGGATCGCATATCGACCTCGTGTGTACTTTCGTCACGTTGTCTCAGGACATTACCTCATATGTAAAAGGATCTCTCGCAAATATAACCATCAAACAGTTGCAATACGACACCGCGCTCTTGTTTAATGGCATATAAATGGACATCTGCTATTTTCTGTCAGGTTAATACGAATTCATTGATATCAAATAAATACGCTACAAAAACGACACATTATAAATAATATTGTGATATAAAATAAATTTTAAATTTCTAATTACGTTATCTTAAATTATTGAAAATCACATCCTACATTTTCTAATAACGCACTATTCAAGTAATCCGTGAAGAAAAACCTAATTAAGATTAATATGCGATACCGTGCTAAAGTTTTTGTTTCAAAATTATGTTTGAATTCATTGTTCATACTCAATTTTGAAATAAAAGAAATAAAACTTTTTTAAATATCTTTATATGAAATATTTGCATGAATTTATATACATCTGAACTTACAACGAATTATTTTTCAATTAATGATAATGTAGCAGAAAATTAAAATTGGAAGACACGTGGCATGACTCGAGATTTTGAGGCGGCAGCCTTCCCACGCGTATATCTTAACCCTTATCCATATCCAACCTCTCCCTCAACCCTTTCGTTCCCTTTGCTCTCGAGATCCCTCGCGTCCCTCGGGCATTCCAATGAAATCTACATACGAAAAGGAGGAGTGCTTTCCCATGTCCCTATCTCGTGGACACCAGGCAACCTATCTATTCAAAGAAACCTAATCTTCTTATCCCCGAGACGAGAAATTCTTGGAGAATGTTAGTCAGGTGACATTCAAATTTTAAAAGATTACTCTACGTCGCAGGAAACGAAGAAGAATTGCAATTCACGTAATGGAACGCCAGATTTCAGATAAATCTAACAATGTGAAACACTACTCGCATTAAAATGGACAAAAAGTTTTAACTGCACGAGTCTTGTGTTATTACTAGTAATATTTTATATCCAATCTCTATATTAAGTAAAATATGAATAATCTATAAACATTTTATTTATTATTTTATTTGTTAAGTAATATGAGTCGGCACATATTATACATAAGCATTCTTTAAAACTTTCTATAGTTAGTCGAATTGATCTTAACCGGGCAGTCATAAGTTTATCGACAGCATGGATCTCTCATATTTTCGAAAAGTCAGATGTAATTAAATAGAGCACGAATCAATTGAATAAAGAAATAATTGGTAACTATTATAGAATAGAAATAAAAAAAGATAGAAATAAAAAAAAACAAAATAAAAAATGAAGGAATAGAATCGATAACTCTTGGGTGCCAACTGGGCGCGACATCTGCATGCAGATGCATCCCGAGTGTTCTCACGTTACTCAGGTGGCGACTGACTTTCTGAATAAATTACCGGCGCGAGCGAAACGAAAGTCCCCGAAACAGTTATAGACACCCTGTCGTGTACACGGCTACACTGGAGATAATGGGCCTACCTGGTTCTTCAACCCCTTCCGCTTCTTTGGCCGCCGGCTGCACGAGCGGACCCCACTTTATGCTCGTTATGCCATTATTTCTCGAGTCAGTTTATTACCATCGACCTGTGTCATCCTTTATGCAGAATAATTTGATATCCCAGGCATCGAAGGGTACGTATAAGAGGTTTCTCGCGCACGACGTCTGTTTTCCTCGTTATTCACGTCGACTAAATTTCTGTTTTTGGTAAATGACATTCTTAATTCTATAATCACTAATATATTGATGCAGTTCTAATCTATGCGGAAACTAATTGTGATTGTGATGTAATTGTAATGTATCTTAAAGCATGATATTTCCAACTACGTACAAAGTCTGGAATTTCATATGCCTGTTCGACGTAATTAAGATTTTTTTCTAAGATCTTTTCTCCGAAGATTTTCTGATAGAAAAATTATTTGATGATTTGCGCTCTCTCTTTTTTATAAGTTAGAGAATAGCTATTATTTTCATTAATGAAAAAAATAAAATTTCATATTATAGTCATTATGAAATTAGTTATTAAAATAGATATAACAGAAACGTATGAAAGATAAGACTTATGTTGACATTATGATATTAAAAAATGATAGTGTGTTAAAAGAGAAAATAAGATAAATGTGAGCTTGCGATAATACGTGTACAAGTCGCGGCGGTGTTTCTGAATGACGGCAGGCGTCTCGTTTTGCCGAGTGTACAAACGACTTCTTGTTCGCAAAACAGAAATTACCGCGGCACAGCGTGGCGCTGAGGAAGGACAGTGGAAAGATGAGGACACGAAGATTCCATTAAGGGGTAACCGGCGGTAATGAATGGAAGACACCCCCTCGTGCCACCCCGAGATCTCCTACCCCTGAATTTCTCGTTCACTTCTCTCTCCCCTATTCCTCCCCCATCTTCCTTTTGCGCTCTCTCTCTCTCTCTCTTCTTCTCTCTCTCTCTCTCTCTCTCTCTCTCTCTCTCTCTCTCTCTCTCTCTCTCTCTCTCTCTCTCTCTCTCT